TGATCAAAAGTGCTACGGCTAAGAGGGTGTTTGGGAAAGAGGGAGTAAACTTTAGTACTTATTTTTTGAGAGAGGGATCTCTCCCAAACACCCCCTAATTCGTGCCTGGGTTTGAGTGGAGAAGCTCATTAAGCGTCATTAATTAATTCTCTGATATTATACTCCCTCCGTTCACATTTGATGGCCATATTACAAGCGTGCAGCGAGACCAATGCTAAGAAAAACTCTTCCATTAATCAGTTAATGTTGTCTTGTCCCTTCAGTTTCATATCAGATATTAATACTAGTCGTTTTTCATATCAAATTCCCCTCCAATCAGTAGATTTTTTTTCCTCTATCCGATCAAGATCTAACGATCCACATTCAACCTCCCATTCCAACATAATCAACCCTCTGAGCTGCCATGTCTTTTGATGCAAGAAGTATGGTTTCCCCCTACCGTTAGATTGTCATACGATGAATGGAGATTCATCCCTCGCAGTTACAATGGATTGCAAACATGTCCTACACTCTTACCAAAAAAACAATTTTGTCTATATTAATGACATTTTGGCCATTTTTATTTCAATCAAAAGTTTTAAGTTGGCAAGATTTTAGGAGTCGCCATGGAAAAAAGAAGTGAAGATGAATATAGGAAGAAGACGTGTACATCTAGGGGTAAGGTTGGTCTTACGATGTAGAGGGGAGGTTGTAGATGTTAGGCCTGATGGAATGAAGTGGCAAAAGAGGGTATAAGGGTCACGCTACCCACGAATTTCATCTGAAAGTGACATATGAGCATCCCAGCTATCTAAGTTTCTATCTTGATGAGATTTTAGGATTCAAAGTGGAAAATACACTTTTTAATTTTCTAATATAGGGGCATTTCTAATTCCCAAGAAGTACAGATTTCGAGCCACTTTAATGTTGTCCTTTATTATGTTATTAGATTTTAGGATTCAAAGTGGGAAATATACTTTTTTAAAATTTTCAAGAAGCAGGGATTTCTATGCACTTCCCTGTTGTCCTTTGTTATGCTTATGAACATATATGAATAATGTGCTTAGTGTCATGAAATACGGAAACGGTACGAAACCGTCCTGTACGTTAATGTAACTTAAAAAAAAGGTGCCTGTGCATCGTTCAACATGACAAACTAAAATTAGGATGAATATTAGATTTGTACCTTGAACTTCTCCAAAAATTTGCTCAAACTCAATTCAGAAATTTGAGAGCGAATCCAATTTTTCCGTTCGAATTACTTTCTTTTTTTATTAGTATTTCCTTGTTCAAAATTTGTTCAAATTCTCATATATCAAAATCCACCCAAACATGCAAAAATCCTTATCACGCGATGCCACCGATGATGGATGATAAAAGAAACACTTCAATATTTTTCTATAATAAGTAGGTAGTGAAGATATTCCTCAATTACCCTAGAAAAGGATATTCCTCAATCTGTTTTTATAATTTGGATAACTCTAACCATTATTAATATTTATTTTTTTCATTTAAAATTTTGATTATACAATCAATCCTACTTTATCCCCTTACTCAAACGCAAACATATATATAACGTTCTTCTTCTAGCTTCCTGGCTTCTGGGTATGAGTCACGGGATGGACACAGGGTGGGCCGGGTAGCAGTTCTTACTCCTTCTGACCATGAATGATCTTTCTAGTTTTGAAATCAGTTAATTGTTCAACACACAAATTTATTTCCATTACATGAAGTTCAAAACATTTATTAAATTAATCTATGAGAAAAATCATTTACAAAATTAAATACAAAAATAAAAACCTACCAAACATTATGGAACCCACGACATGAAAAATAAAAAGCGTAACCTTAAGCAATATATGCAACACTTTAAATGTTGTAGAAACATACCTAAGCAATAAATACAACACTTTAAATGTTGTAGAGGAATACCTTAGGCCCTGTTTGGCTAATGGGATAGGGAAATCATTTCCCACCCACTAAAAGACATCTTTAAATCTTAACCATTCATTATCCCTCTTCCATTTAATCCTAACCCCCACATTTCTCATTATCCAAACACACCCTTAATGTTTACACTTTAAACTTCAAGCTTCAAAGATTGACCTTAACATTAAGGTGTGCCATAAGAGAATAACATAGGATCCTTTTATTGATTCACAGTTCACACCAGTTCATTGGGTGATGAACCCGAGGGGTACCTAAATTCGATTTCACAACCTTTAACTGTTGTAGAGTTGGTACTAACTTATGTCACTTGCATTAGGCCCCACCCTTACGGTCATCGTTGCACATACATTGAGCTTGCCCTTATAGAATAAACTATGTGGCCATCCACCAAAATGGTTTGGCAAGTTACTACTACCCGTTCTAAAATAAGCTTATTTTTCATCTAACCCACACATTCTAGTATAAAAGTGGAAAAATAATACTCTTCGCTTTATCAATTCCCCTCACTTTAACCAATTCCAATGCATTTGTCCCATACTTTTCACAAACCCCAATGTAATGATTTCTAAAAAATGAACTTATTTTGAGATAAATAAGAGGGAGCAAAGATAATCTTATTTTAAGACGGAGGAAGTACATCATGAAGTGTGGCGACAAACACACAACAATGTTTTACATACTTGGGTGCGGGAGTGTTGTCCTGCCACACCAATAAAAATAGCATATCTTGAAGATTCATAGAGAGTGGATTCTAATCCCTCGAGGGAATGTCATTTGTGTACTTTTTTTCCTTTAAATTTGATACAAATAGTTGTAGAAAAATTCTAAACTTTTTTCCACTGTAGAACATAGTGATATCTATGGTACCCCAAAAATCAAGTTCAAATTCGAGCTACACATCGAGAAAAAAAACAAATTTAGATGTGGACAATACACTACTATTCATACGTTAAATTTATCTCTTTTATATCTTGATTTGTGAGTTGAGTTTAGACCTAAGATTCTATGGAGATATGTTGTACGAGTGCTGCAAAAAAAATTCATATCCGTTTGGATGGTTTTTAAGTAAACAAGTAGACATCCCCTCAAGGGATGAAAATAGTTTCCCAGATTCATATATGTACATAAATTTTTTGGAAGGCTTATTTAGAAATTGAGATGAAAAGGGTTTAAAAAAATCCAATGCAACATCTCCTAGCAACAAAATTTCAATTGCAATGAGTTTTTTTTCAAACAAATTGATTTTAGGCACACTGATTCTTTACTTCAAAGGACATTTTTTGTTAACGACTCGCACAAGACGGTGCGAAGTTCTACTGATAGAGCAGAAAAAAAAACAAGATTACAACCCTAGAAGGTCTTAATCAGGAAAAAGGAAAAAATATACCACCACATACACATCGACAGCGCCAACACACAGGTCCGAGAGAAGACTAGCACTGGACCGGCCGCGGCTAAGCGTGACCGACCGCCGCTAGGCCAACAAAGGAACATAGACGAGAATGCTCAAAAGCCCTTACAACCTACACAAAGCCAACTCTATCTAGAGTGTGCTTGCACCAATCGTTCGAGTGGTTTTGACAAGGGGATGCCTAAACGACGTCTCCAAGGAGATAAGCGACGGAAAACCGCCGTCGCTGTCCGTCGGGGACTCAAAAGAGCCAAGATTGGGCTTTTGCCCGACAAACACCCTTGAGGGATGAGACGGCACGACAACGCCCTTAGGAGGGGGAAACCATTGTTGTCGGTCCGGGCAAGGCCGGGCTAGGTTTTCACTCGCCGCTCACCTCCAAGTCCACGGCTGATGCACCGATGCTCCACCACTGCTCAACCTCTGCCGACATGTGGGACCACTGCACCGGCGCCTCCCGCTGGCCAACCTTCGTGCGCCGAAGACCGCGTCACACCCCCCGCAGCTCCTCCTCACATCGTGGTCGCCTCCTTTACCGCCGGCCGTGCCTCATCGCGCCGCGCCGTCCTCCTCCACCACCGGATGAGCCTCTCGCGCCAGTCCGGTTTCCTGCCATCGGCTGTGCCTCTCACGCCATGCCGGCCTCCTTGCCACCGGCCATGCCTCTCGCGCCTTGCCGACCTCCACTGCCAACAGCCGTGCCTCTCTACGCCAAGCCGGCCTCCGACCCCTCCAATCACTGCCGCACCGGCCAGGTGCGGCCGTCTGCCACGCCCCCGGCTAGCCTTCCGAGACCGCCATGCCTCACCACCATTGCAGCCACTACTGCCGATGGCCACCTCGCCGCTACCGCGACCGTCGCCACGAGCTCCGCGCCGTTGTCGCCGCCGTGAGTGCGCCCCGTTGCCACAGCAGCCGGCAGTGCCGTCTACCAACCACTGTGCTGTCGCCATCGTCCAGCCGCTACCACCACCTTCGCCACGAGCTCCACGCCGTTGCCACTGTCGTTGTCGCGACGTGCTCGACGCCATCGCCGCCGACGCCGTCGCCGCGAGTCCCGTAGCCCCACCACCGCCGTGAGCTTGCCCCGCACTGGATCGGCCCTCGGGGGGGGGGGTGTCCGCCTCCGGAGCGACCGAGCCCTGCCCGCCGTTACCATCCTCGCCGCCGCCTTCCATCCCCGCCGCCACCACCGCCAATCGCCACCGCCTCACCACGCTGACCCATCGCCGGCGGTCTCCCTGCCAGATCCGGTCATGATGGCCTCGAACTGGGCGGCCTTCGCCGTCCCGTGCGGCCCCCACCCCTGGCGGGAGGGAGAGACGAGACGAAGCCCCTCCATCACCATCCTTGCGGCCGTGCGGCTTTGCCGGCGGCCGCTCGGGCGGCGGCGAGGCGGAGGAGGAAGGAGGGGGGGAGCGGGCGACGGTGGTGGTTTCCACCTCCTGTGTCTTCCGTGAGGGAGGACGACGCGGGGGCGAAGAACTGATAATGGACATTTCTTAATTCGAACAATAATGATATCAACGGCATTTCGGTGCCTTGTGTTTAATACCCTGATAGATAAACTTCTATTAAAAGCAATCCCTTCCTTCCAGCAATCAATGCCAGGGTGAATACGTGTTGTTTATTGGCTAGCTAATAATCTAGTGCTATAATTAGCGCACCAATAAAAGCCAGAAGCTCTCGTCACCACCTGTTCGACCGGAGTCAGATTGCGCGCGCCGTCCTCCCCCACCGCCATGGCGCCGCCGTCACGGCATGTGGACGCGGTCGCCGCCGTTCTCCCTGTCCTCCTCACGATCCTTCTGCCTTCCGCCGCCGCAATCGGCGTCAACTACGGCACCAAGGGAGACAACCTGCCGCCGCCGGCCACCGTGGCGAAGTTCCTCGCGAACCGCACCCGCATCGACCGGGTGAAGCTGTTCGACACCAACCCGGACATCGTCAAGGCCTTCGCCGGCACGGGCATCACGGTCATGGTCACCGCCGGAAACGGCGACATCCCGACGCTGGGCACCAAGGACGGCGCCGCCGCCTGGGTGGCGGCGAACATCGCGCCGTACTACCCGGCGACGGACATCTCCCTCGTGGCCGTCGGCAACGAGATCATCAACACGGCGGACAACGCCCTCATCGGCGGCCTCGTCCCGGCCATGCGCACCCTCAGGGCGGCGCTCGTCGCCGCCGGCTTCCGGCGCATCCGCGTCTCGACGCCGCACTCCCTCGGCATCCTGTCCGTCTCCTCGCCACCGTCGGCGAGCCGGTTCCTCGACGTCCTCGACCGCACCTTCTTCGCGCCGATGCTGGAGTTCCTCCGCAAGACCAAGTCTCCGTTCGTCGTCAACCCGTACCCCTACTTCGGCTACAACGGCGACACGATCCCGTACGCGCTGGCGCGGCGCCCCAACCCCGGCGTGCTCGACCCGGGCACGGGCATCACCTACACCAGCATGCTCGAGGCGCAGCTGGACTCGGTGTTCTCGGCGATGAAGAAGCTGGGGTTCGAGGACGTGGACATCACGGTGGGGGAGACCGGGTGGCCGACCAAGGCGGAGCCCGGACAAGCCGGCGTGAGCGTCGCCGAGGCGGCGGAGTACAACCGCTACCTCATCGGAGAGGCCAGCTCGGGGTCGGGGACGCCGCTCATGCCGAAGCGGACGTTCGAGACCTACATCTTCGCGCTCTTCAACGAGAACCTCAAGCCGGGTCCCATCGCCGAGCGCAACTTCGGCCTCTTCAAGCCCGACCTCACGCCCATGTACGACGTCGGCCTCATGAAAGACACGGTACGTACGTCCGTCCGTCCGTCCGTACGCCGCGCCGCCGGCGAGTGCAATGAACGTTGTTGCGTAATGCAGGGGAAGTCATCAGCGTCGGCGCCGGCGCCGGCGAAGGGCGGCAATGCCAGCGGCGCCGCCGTGACGAAGCGTGACTCGGAGTCGGAGGCCGCCGCGCCGGCTGATGAGGCGAGTGCGCCCGCGCCGTCGTCGGTGGGGAAGAAGGTCTCCACGAAGGCCACCGCGCCGGCACCGTCGGACGACGGCTCGGCCTCGCCGGAGCCATCGGAGGGCGAATCGGCCGACGAGAAGAATCCGGTGCGTGCCGCGCGTCCGTGCTCGACACGATCGACGCTCATTGTCGCCATCACCATGCATGGTTTTTGTGGCTGCCGACACTGACTGACATATCGTTGTGAAACTCCTTTGTGGCGCATCTTGCAGGAGGAGGAGGAGGAGGAAGAGGGGGATGATGCCGCCGCGACGACGACGCCGGGGGGCGACGGCGACTCGCCGGAGACGGAAGCCGCGGTACGTACACGCATTATTCATTCATGATCCATGTGTCCATGCTCGTGGACTGCATCGAAACGAGACCATTGAGAAAATGAGAGAGATGCACGCTTGATAATTTCTCTTTGCCACCTATTTCGACATCCTTTTGAATTTTCATAGACATATATATTCAATTTCTATAGTAATGGAAATTTTTCATGGATATCTTCAAGAAACCCTTAGTTCATTAACTATTTTTCTTTTGTTGATCTTGGGCAGGGTGATGATGCTAAAGAGAGCGAGGGAAAAAACAACCCCCATGGCCATGGAGATTCTTCAGAAGCTATCAGTGTTATGTTCTCTGTACCTTCCATGCTTACAATTGCTCTGTCTGCAATACTTCTTCATCTCTAACTTCTCCTCAACTCATGGTGTAACAATAGTGCAAATACTAACATTGGTTTTTGCCAAACACTGAAAAACTGCTTCTGTTATTCTCCTCTGTGACTTCTCCTCTGTTCTAAATTATAGGGTGTCCTTATTTTTAGAAAACTCAAACTTAAAAAAAATTCACTAATAATTACATTAGCTTATTTATACTAAGTATTATGCATGTTATATAACTAGATTTATATTTTAAAATAATTTTATGTGATACTAATTTCGTAGGTGTTTGATAACATAACATGAAATAAATTTAGGTCAAAGCATGTCATTGAAGCCAGTGTAAACTTATAATTTGGGACGAGAGGAGTAGTATAGTGTCCTTTATATATACTCCTATGAAAGACACAAATGATGGTGGTGGTTCTACTGCCATCACCCTCTGCCCAGTGTGACAGTGAGGCCCATATACGGTAAATGTTAGTTAGACATTTTACATGCCATTTTATCAATTATATAAAAAAGAACCAGGCTATAAAAGTAAAAAGAAATCTGTAAGAAAATTTAATATCAACTTTAAATTATGATGATGATTAGCAATCATTTTATAGCTAACCAATAAAATTTGATTGATGAAAGTATAGTTTCATGAATAGACAATGAGAAATGATTTTATAAAGATGAATATCTCTTTTACAACTCTATTGTAACGCATGTGCATTTAGCTAGTGATATAAAATAATTGTAGCACTTATTGTTAATCTATTATATTTTGCAAAAACGATAAGGTCAATACAAACACACATGGTACTAAGTTTGTACATATATAATTTAATTATTATCGAAGCTTTCATGGAGCAATTTTAAATGCAAGCCTTCCTAATTAACTAAACCATCACAAGTTTAGAAGCTTTCAACCTCCATCAGTTGTTTTAGATGAAACACACCAACCCTATGTTAGGGTAACTATCATTGACCATGAAACTCATCTAGTATTTTACTCTACCAATTCAGCAAACTAAAAGCATTTTACCGATAATTTCTATAGGATAATTCGTTCTTGTAGTCTATTTTGATCGGTCGGTTGTTGAAGCATCACCATCGCTACTCAAAATCATATACTAACATACAAAACCATCCAGTCACATTGACCATTACAAATCCAAGAAGCCAGCTAAAAAAAATAATTAAAACATACAAAAATCCCCCTAAAATCCAAAAACCCATCCTCCTCGTGTGCAATTTGACCAGAAGTCAGCCAAAACGAGAAGAAACCCCCACTTGCAAAACCTCCACGTCACTTGGCCCCACCTGTCACCCACCCATCCGAAGCCCCCACAAGGCAACAAAAAAGGGGACGTGGCCCCACCTGACAGCCTCACGCGCGACGCCTCGCCGGAGGTGGGCCCCACGTGACAGCCTCACACGCGGCGCCTCTCACCCGTCGCTACAAAACGCCCCCGAAAAACCTCACGATCCGCACGCACGCACGCTCCCCTCCTCCTTCGCGCCGCGCCGCCGCCACTCGCCACCAATCCCCCTCCTCCACCAACCCCTCCACGCCTCACCTCCTCGCGCTCAAATCCCCCACGATAAATCGAACCTAATCATTCACCGGATTTTGTTCGGAGTTTTCCGCGATCCGTCGCCTCCTCGTCGAGCCGCAATCAGGTGCGGGCTTCTCCGATTTTTTTTCTCTGATTTTTTTGCGGTTTTTGTGGCCATTTCCAATCCAATCTGACCATTTCTGTAGTGGTGCGTGGGTGGGCGAGCATGAGCATGGCGTTCTCGTGCGCGGGCGCGCGGCTGCAGCAGGGGCGGGTCGGCGTGGGGAAATGCCGGGGTGGTGGTGGTGGTGGCGGTGGCGCCGCGGTGGTGAGGCGGAGCGGCTGCTGCCTCTACCCGGGCGGGAGGAGGGGGCTGGGGGTTAGGGGGATCCGCGCCGAGCTGCCGCCGCGGGCCTGCGCGGATGGGGGCGGCGGCGCCACCACCTCCGGTTCGACCGTCGCCGTGCCTGATGCTGGGGAGGTTGCTGACCACGTGAAGGAGGTCGGCGCGGTTGCACCTCCGAGCGTGCTCCCGAAGGGGGAGCGTGGCGAGGTGGCTGATGTTGACGGCTCGGGTGGGAATGGGAAGTTACCCTCCAGTGGCGGCGGCGGAGATGGGGATAATGGTGGTGGCGGCGGTGGTGGTGATGGTGGGGACGGTGGGGATGAAGGGGATGATGAGTTTGGGCCGATCCTGAGTTTTGATCAGGTGGTCCAGGAGGTGGAGAAGCGAGGGGTCAGCTTGCCCAGCTTGCCCGCGGATATGATTGAGGCCGCAAAGAGCGTCGGGATTCAGAAGCTACTGCTGCTGAGATACTTGGACATGCAGGTATATTGTTAAGAACTCACTCATGATGAGATACTTGGACTTGTGTATGATGTGTGTAGAATTGGATTGAGATTGATATTGTTTTTTGTTTGAATGTGGAAGGCATCGGCTTGGCCGTTGGGTCCAGCCATTAGGTCCTGCTCACTTCTCCGGAACAGGATGCTAGTTGACCCTTCATTTCTCTTTAAAATCGGGACTGAGGTAGGTTTTGTTATTTATGCTGACTAGTAGCATTCATTGATATATCCCTATTGGCAAAGTTGTTAATCATTTGTTGTTGGGTTGAATTGATTGCAGATAGTCATTGACACATGTTGCGCGACATTCGCGGAGGTACAGAAGAGAGGGGAGGAGTTTTGGTCGGAGTTCGAGTTGTATGCGGCGGATATGTTGGTAGGCGTAGTTGTTAATGTAGCTTTAGTTGGGATGTTGGCGCCATATGCTCGATTTGGTGGGGGATCTGCATCTCCAGGTCTTCTTGGGCGTGTTAGGCATGCTTATGACTCTCTCCCAAGCAGGTGGGTCACGAAAGATAATAATTTGTTGAGAGAGTGCAGTGTTTATAATATTATTTTCTGTCATTATCTGTTTCAAATACATCTCATTTTAGCCTTCTAATTTTGTTTTTAAACACAGAACATTCTATTATTTTCTTGAGAATTTTAACTTGAGCCCCATCCTTGCTTATACCCTTCCCATATTTGATCACTGCCATTTTCCTTTATTACTTCATACATTAGTTCCTGCACTAGAGTCTAAAATGGCATCTACTTTTGAGTGGTATGGACTATATTATACTGTGGCACTGAATACTTTGTAACATATGTTTCAGAATGTTCTAGATGTTAATGAGTCAATTAATTGCCTTGAACTGCTGTGAAATACAATATTACCAAAAATAGATTGAATCTTTTGATGTTAGCTCTTAGTTTTGAAACACCATACAGAATTTGTTAATTACATCTGCTTATGAGAACTTTGTTCAGTAAAAAATAATAATAGTGCATCTGACCATCTGTCCTAAGTAATGCTGATGAAACTGATGTTTTGCAGCGTGTTTGAAGCTGAAAGGCCAGGATATAGTTTTTCCATTCAACAACGGATAGGAACATACTTTTTTAAGGTAATTTTCTTTTGTGTTTGCTGCATCTCTTTTTTAATTTCACCTCGTGTTTGGATGCTGACTTATATTGTATATTCTAATATCTAAAATACCTTTGCGAACAGGGTATTTTATATGGTACAGTTGGATTCTTTTGTGGTCTTGTGGGTCAAGGAATTGCGAACTTGATAATGACTGCCAAAAGGTATCTCACTTTTCTTTATGTTCTGGTACTTTGACCAGTTTTATGGGTGTAAAAACAAGAACATTTCATGTCCCTGAAGCTAAGAAAACGAAAGACTTAAGCTCCTAGTTTATTGACATATTTTACTGTAATTCCATGCATGGTAAGGTTATATTTATATACTTCTCTAGTTACAATTGATAGTAACATGAAAAATTGTTATGCGTCTAAGTAGAGGGCTCAGAGCCTCAGACAAGGTCTGTAAATCATCAGGAGATATAGGAAGACTTAATAATTACTATGCGGCTGCATTTTGTGATTATCCATCATAACATTTAGATCACGATGTATCACATATTGACATGAGCAAAATTAGAGTTTAACAGAATAATCATATACATTGTATGGATCCCCTTGGTACTTAATTATTAGTTCATAATCTGGAATGGTACTAATAAAAACAATCTCACTAACATATGCAAATGCTCATATTAACACCAACGCATTTCTATCAAAGCTTATTAATTGCTGTGATGCATACATCAGTTATTGAGAAGTTCGTAAGATCAAATATGCAAGTCAATTTCTGTGCACAAGTTCATTTAGTTGTTATTCTTACATTTGACAATCGACACTGGATGTTATACTAATCCTTTTCAAATGCTGGTTGCTGGATATCTAAGTTGAGTTCTGATTTAAATGTACATGATACACTCATATTATTCCTCCCAAAAATGCAGAATATGTTTTTGACCTGATTGTATTTTTGTACTGTTTAGTCTTTATGCATCTCGAATATATTATTTTCCTTTGAATTTCAGGAGTGTAAAGAAGTCAGATGATGATGTACCTGTCCCACCTCTGCTCAAAACTTCTGCATTGTGGGGTAAGCGTATTTTTGTGTTTAGCCGTTTTATTTGAAGTCTATATCATTATTTTTTCCCCTCTGTTGCTGTGCAGTATACTAAAACAAATTAGTTTTTGTACCGGGAGGATGTGGATAAATAGGTAGTCATGCATGTAATGAATACATTGTGGGGTTCATATTTATTTTTCTTACAATGAACATAAGAGTTAACTTTCACCTAGTTTTGTGTTTTGTGGTTAGCATATGATATGGCAATGTGTGGATTAACCTTCAAAGCTGCTTTATATGTGCTATATATATTCTGTTTTCAACGTAAGTTTGTCTGCAATAACTTGTATCATAAGATGAGAAACCATTTACTGTGCTTATTTGTATGTGGCATTAGACATGATTTTCCTAACCAATAGCATGATAGTATTATATAACAGCTATGCTTGATAGTTGATATACACCATGTAATTTATGTGTTTTGACCATGCTGTCCGTAGAAGCTAATGTCAGCATGGGGAAGTATCCGGTGCAATCTCCCCATTCAGTGCAATCATGCAATCTCCATCTTCCACCGTTGGATCGAGAAATGGACGTCCGAGATTCATCCACGTCACCATGAGTTAAAATTTAACTCGCAGATTCACCCATGAGTTACAATTTACTGAGAGTTAAATTTTAACTCATGGTGACGTGGACGAATCTCGGACGTCCATTTCTCGATCCAATGGTGGAAGATGGAGATTGCATGATTGCACTGAATGGGGAGATTGCACCGGATACTTCCCCATGTCAGCATACTGCTATTGGGTTGTTTAAAGTGGGCCTGAATGAAATTGCCAATCGTTAAGATTCTGTTTCTAGCCAAAACCTGCAGTACTTCTGAGCTTAGGTATCTTCGCTATATGCTAACTAACTCAAAAGTTTTTAAGTTCTGCTCACAATATAATATTTGCATGATTCAAAGAATTCTAACTGTTTATTTCTGTTACATTTACGGTACCTTTTAAGTATACTTGATTATATATATTGATGCTCCCTAAACAGAAATCGTGCTCAATGTTTCAGGTGCATTCCTTGGTGTGTCTTCCAACACCCGTTATCAGATTATTAATGGGCTTGAGCGTGTGGTTGAGGCTTCACCTGTTGCCAAGCGTGTCCCAGCTGTTTCTCTGGCATTCACTGTCGGTGTGCGCTTTGCAAATAACATTTATGGAGGAATGCAGTTTGTGGACTGGGCTAGAATGACCGGTTGTCAATGAGGTGAAGGCATTCTTATTTTCATGGTGAGGTGATTTCCATTTCTCACATATGAATGTGATTTTGGTAAATGTAGCCATCTCTTCTCGTTATAATGTTCTGGAAAAGGACTTTCTTTTGAGTAACCGATGGTCAACATAGTTACATTATCAATGGTACGACTAGATGACATGCTTCTAAGAACTATTCTTTTTATTGCAGTTATCATTCACAGCGATGTGGAGTGTTGCCAGCCATAGACTCCCAAAATTTGTCGAATTTGCTCCGTCTCTATTTAAAGATGTGATGCTATTACCAATAATTGCATTGCTGCAGAGCTCCAAAATAAATGAGGTCGTATGTTCTGTTTAGAATGCAACAGGATTCATTGTAAAATCAGGAAAGTTTCAGCATGTCATAGTGCTTAGCCTTCCATATGCGCAAATCAGTAGCTCCAAGATTTAGAAGATTGGATGTATATTGAATTCGGTTGTTTCTCTTGTCGAATAAATTCGGTCATCTTGGTTTGGGCTAATCAAGTCCGAGTCCTGTGCTGGTTTTACATTGCTTCGCCTCTGTTGTTTGCTGTTATAGCTGAAATGGCTGAAAGACTGAAAGTAACTCGTTTCATCAAGCTCTCCTAGAGTGTCCAGTTTTTCCTCGTTTCACCATATCCTTCTCAGACAAGGTAGTAAATATATCATGTCCATGGAAATTATACTTCTCCAACTCAACTAATAACCAGACAAAAAAAAAATTTCTAGACTCTGTAGTATAAACTCTTACTACAGTGGTACAGCCACTTCTAAATTCTGATTTACAGATAGACCTCAGATAACAGCCACTTCTAAATTCTGATTTACAGATAGACGTCAGATAACCTACGGAACCTTATGAATGGATGGCTTAATCATCCACATCTTATCCGGTTATGCCTTTACTCATGCACAGGTATACTGAGAAATATAGTATACAGAAAACAAAGAAACTATATTAATCTGGGAAGCTTGAAATAAAAAAGAGCATAGGATTAATCTAGGAAGTTGGGAAAAAGAGCATTTTTAAGAGAATGAAATTTAACTAAAATCCAAAAAGAAAAGGTCACCTAGATAGAAATTTAACTTAAATCCAAAAAAAAAAAATCGGCTCAAAAGAAGTAGAAAGAAGATAGTGTTAGAAAACAGGGGAAAAAAAAACTCTACTGATTATTGGGAGATATGAGAACTAGTGCTTTGCTCTGAACTCTGGGTCTGCCTGAGTTTTCTTGGTATCCTGTTGAATATCCTATTCGAGTCATGCCACAATTCTTAGTGTTTTGAGCCAGGATGTTTTAGTAGCTGTGTAACTCAACTTGTTTTTTCTTTCTTTCAATCATTTGAAGTATTTTAGTAGGTGGTAAAGAGAGTAACAAGAAACAGAACCATGAATGATGAAAGCAGTGAGATTTCCTGCAGCTGAATCAAACCACAATAAGCTCATTTGCCGACAGAGTAAGTAACAAAAACCAAATATTTCCTGAATCGAAGAATCTGAGCTGGTATCATTTCAACCAGCAGCTGGCACTCAAGTTTCATCACTGCATGACTTCAATCTTCTTGGTACTTGACCAAACACATCACAACAAATCTATCAACTTGCAAGGAAGAAATAAAAAACATCGAACATATTAATTAGGTAATTAGCAGGTAACTCCAAGAACACACAAGCTGCATACACTTGCATAGTTGTATATACAATGTCGCCGTGTCGGCAGCAATGCAGCATCATCTAGATCTCTCAAAATCACAAGCAAAAAATCAATACTAGCATTGCTGCGCTTCAGTTGTTGATCCGGTGGTTGGGCTAGCGGGTGAAGGCGTAGAAGACGATGCCGATGTAGATGAGCATGGCGGTGGGCACGAGCGAGACGAGCGGCACGACGGCGCCCCACGCGGCGGCGCCGCCGGCGCCGCAGCCGAGGCGGCCGAGCTTGACCTGCACGACGTTGACGAGCGCCATCATCAGGAACCCGCACCCGCACACGGAGCCCACCGCCGACGCCAGGATCCCGACGCGGAGCGCCACCCGGTTGATCATGGCCGTGCGGCTGACGGCGGATCCGCCGCCGCCGCCGCTCCGGAGGCGGTAGTGCGGGTGGGTGCGCACGATCTGCTTGAGGCAGAGCGCGACGATGCTGGAGAAGAGGAAGCAGGCGAAGGCGAGGACGTGGAACAGGACGAGGTCGGACTCGACGCGGTCCCCCGCGGCGCAGGCGGAGCCCAGGCGGTCGGCGCCGCCGGCGAGCTCGGGCCCGTCGGCGGAGGGGCGCCACGCCAGGCCGATGAAGGCCGCCAGGGTGAAGAGCGAGTTCACGTTCACGATGCCGTCCAGCGCCGTGATGTGGATGCTCGTGCCCCCGCCGCCGCCGCCGCCACCGCCACCGCCGCCGCTGCCGGTGTCCATGATTCGCGGTGGTTTCTTGGATTGGTTTGGGTGGGGATCGAATCGAGCTGCGAAGCGAAGCGAGGGCGGTCGGTGAGCTGAGCACGTGTGAGCAAATCGAAGGAGGACAGGACAAGGCGTGGTGTGTTGGGCTCTATCACTCTGCAGCTTAGAGCAGGTACAATAACGGGCGATACTGGTTCCACGTAAGATTTTGTGATGATCTGGAGGAGAGAGGGAATGAGAGAGAGAGTGAGCCGGCGACTAATTTGTCGCTGGGCTGCACGCGCCGCTCGAGGAGTTCGTGGGGCCCGCCTAGATGCTTGCGCTGCCTGCCTCCGTCGCCAACTCCCGCGGCCACCGGACCACCGCCCTCGCCGGCGCTGACGCATGGCCACCTTCGTCCTGCGGCCCAGCCGCCACCATCTCCGATGCCCGCCGTCCTCTTCCGCCTCCGCCGCTCGGCCCGGCCGCCGCCGTCTCCGACGCCCGCCGCACGGCCGCCGCCCTCTTCCGCCCGCCGCCGCCCGGTCTCCTGTGTCCGCTGCCGCTGTTTTCCCCCCGCCCGCCATCTCTGTTGCTCAAGAACCAAACAAAGAACAGAAGACATGAACGGAACAACGGATGGGAGAAAGAGAGAGAGAATGGGAGGTAGGAGAAGATGGTGGGTCCCATGAAACAATAAAATATTTGTGTTATAGTATTTCTATTGTAGACATTAGCTATACTGCTTACTATAGATGACATGGCTATTTTTTGGAGCCAACAGCGGGCTATACTATTGACCTTGCTCTTAGCTGTGCTGTGCTACAATCGGTGTAGATGTCCTTTATCTCTTCTATTTTGATGTTCCTCTATCAAGAAATATTTTGAGAGTTTAGGGTGGTTTTGAGTAGTTAATATTTCTGGGGTCCACCGTTTGGTTTTATCAGAATGTTTAGAGCGAAAACGATTTACATAACCAAAATTAGTGAAAGCGATGGAACGAGTTACAAATACTCCCTCCATCTAAAAAAAACCCAACTATTACTTTGATATGATATAATCTAGTATAATGTATCTGGACAGGCAGTCTGTCCAGATTCGTTGTGCTAGATTATGTCCCATCGAAGTGATATGTTGGGTTTTTTTAGACGGAGGGAGTAATATTTTATTATTTACACTCCCATGAGCATAAAAAATCATCTAGAAATTGTTTACTATGAGAATTAGACGTTTACTATGAGAATTAGACGTAGTACGAAACACATAACTTTTCATTATTCTCTTCCTCTCTATCAAGTCCCTTTTATATTTCGTAGGAGGAATCATCTCCTACTATTGTTCTAGAGTTATGTGCTAATGTCCATGCTTTGCTTAGGCAGTGGCGAAGCCACCGTGGGGGCCGGGGAGGACCAGCACCCCCCTCCCCAACCCTTATGCGACCTCCCCTCCCCTCTCTTCTTCTAAGGGTGATTAACCCGTATAATCTAGCCATTAATTACACCATTAGTTGTAGATGAGACAAACTATATAGAACAGCTGCATAGCTATATAGGACTTCTAAAATGACTTAGGCTATGTTATTGGGTGAGGGTTGGGAACCCTCACCTCCTGCACGGAAAACCGAGCGATGGATTAGTGCACGATTAATTAAGTATTAACTAAAATAAACTTAAAAAATGGGTTACTATGAGTTTTTAAAGCAACTTTCCTATAGAAAATATTTTAAAAAATACACTGTTTAGCAGTTTGGGAAGCGTGCGCGCGAAAAACGAGGATGGAAACAGGCAATGCCGAACACAACCTTAGCTAACTAATTCATCATTTCAGAAGTGATTGCAAGACTCCAATTAAAAACATGGAACAAACCGTTCAATCATCCATATATTAAAAATATTACTGGATTTTAAATTGGCGAATCATGATCTATGGGTTCTCGTTCTCTCTTGTAGCTAATCGCTGTAACATGCATGATGCCAAGTTGCCAACCACGCATCAACGCTACAAAGTACTGTTCATCGAACCGTAAGTGAGTTCTCAAATCTCGTAGATGGCACCCCCAATCTCTAAATCCTAGCTTTGCCATTGTGCTTAGGTGTCTCCACCATTTTTTACCAACGGGTCTATCATTATCATGCTCGATTAAGTGAGTTCCCACATCTCATAGATGGCACCCCCAATCTCTAAATCCTGGCTTTGCCATTGTGCTTAGGTGTCTCCACCATATTTACCAATGGGTCCCCCAATCTCTAAATCCTGGCTTTGCCATTGTGCTTAGGTGTCTCCACCATATTTACCAACGGGTCTATCATGCTCGATTGAGATCAGGTGTCTCCACCATATTTACCAATGGGTCCCCCAATCTCTAAATCCTGGCTTTGCCATTGTGCTTAGGTGTCTCCACCATATTTACCAACGGGTCTATCATGCTCGATTGAGATCTTTGGTTAGTAGGTCATTTAATCAAATTGATTAAAATTGCTTACATAGAACTTGATGCATCCGGCCCAGGTGGGGTTGGCCGAGGCCCAACAAATTAAGGTTACCCGGACCCCAACAATTCTTAGGCACACTCACTCGGGGAAATGCCTAATCTCCCTAAAAAATAGTCCAATAGGGGAATGATGGCTTTCCCTTTTAAGGTGGCTTCCTCCTCTCAAGCTAAGCAAGGTGGGATTATTCAAAGGCTCACATGGTTGCCCCTCCTCCCAAGCTAAGCAAGGTGGGATTATTCAAAGGCTCACACGGTTGCCCCTCCTCCCAAGCTAAGAAAGGTGGGATTATTTAGAGGCTCACACGGTCGCCGCCCGACTACAACTGGACCACTTGGCCCCTTGTTGCGTCTTTGCCAGCGGGTAATAGTGGAGGATGTCCTCATCATTCTCACCCCTTTAAACAAGGGCCCAGCTCTGATACCAAATGATGCATCCAGCCCAGGTGGGGTTGGCCGAGGCCCAACAAATTAAGATTGCCCGGACCCCAACAGTTCTTAGGCACACCCACTCGGGGAAAGGCCCAATCTCCCTAAATGACTAGTCCAATAGGGGAAGCTAAGCAAGGTGGGATTATTCATAGGTTCACACGGTCGCCGCCCGACTACAACTGGACCACTTGGCCCCTTGTTGCGTCTTTGCCAGCGGGTAATAGTGGAGGATGTCCTCATCATTAATGATAACGATCCGGCCCAGGTGAGGTTGGCCGAGGCCCAACTGTCGAGGGGTGATCCTCTCTAGCGGGAGGCTGTGAGGCCCCCCTTTCTGAGTTCAGCCAGGGGACTGGGTACAATGCTTAGGAACGTATTCTTGTGCGAGCGAGGTGTATCGGTGGGAATCAAGCTTGCGAGGTGGATGATGAGGAGACAAGAGAGGGAGATTATACAGGTTCGGGCTGCTATTGAGCGTAATACCCTACTCCTGTGTGTGTGATGATCTTCACGTGGTTACAGAGAGTTCAGATCCTGGGCGCACAAACTAGGGCTTGGCCAGCCTCTACCCAGAATCTGGTTTATCAAGAGTCGTCCCCTTTTACCCGCAGGACGAGGTACTCCTTTTCTAGGTGAAGGGGATACCACATGCACTGTCCCTACCCTCTCCGCCCGGGAGAGGGGCCCACATTGCCTACATTAAAGAGCGCCCATGCCTTGGGCTGGAAGCGATCCATGCGGCCGCCCTTAGGTGGCCCCCCACTGAAGTCTTTCGCCTAACACGGGGGACATCCCCGTCATTCCCTATTAAATGCTTGGCGACTTCATGGGCACACGCGCATGGGAGGTGGCGACCTGCACGTCCTTTCCCTGCACATGATGGGACATGCCATACTGGCCCCTACGCCGTCTGACACGAAGTCGGACGTGAGTGCGCTGCCGCCTGTCCCATCCATCCATCGTCGGGTCACAGACCGGTCAAAAAGCGGTCACCGGGTGCACGTCTACCAGCGGGCGGCGCACAACCTGCCACGCTGTATTAAGTGCGACGGGGGCGGTTGGGGCGCCACCCATAAATGGGCCTAGCGGACGGCGCTTCAGCCCGCTCAAGCCCTCAGACAGCCGCCACGTGGCAGCCGGGCGAGGGCTTTGGGGCGATCAACCCCCCAGGCCCATATCATCGACACCAACAAATTAAGGTTGCCCGGACCCCAAGATTCGGCCCGGGGGGGTTGGGGTGCACGTCTACCAGCGGGCGGCGCACAACCTGCCACGCCGTATTAAGTGCGACGGGGGCGGTTGGGGCGCCACCCATAAATGCGCCTAGCGGACGGCGCTTCAGCCCGCTCAAGCCCTCAGACAGCCGCCACGTGGCAGCCGGGCGAGGGCTTTGGGGCGATCAACCCCTAGGCCCATATCACCGACACCAACAAATTAAGGTTGCCCGGACCCCAAGATCCGGCCCGGGGGGGGGGGGGGGGGTTGGCCGAGGCCCAACAAATTAAGGTTGTCCGGACCCCAACAGTTCTTAGGCACACCCACTCGGGGAATGGACCACTTGGCCCCTTGTTGCGTCTTTGCCAGCGGGTAATAGTCAACAGTTCTTAGGCACACCCACTCGGGGAAAGATCCAATCTCCCTAAAAGACTAGTCCAATTGGGGAAGGGTGGCTCTCTCTTTTAAGGTGGCTTCCTCCTCCCAAGCTAAGCAAGGTGGGATTATTTAGAGACTCACAAGGTCGCCGCCCGACTACAACTGGACCACTTGGCCCCTTGTTGCGTCTTTGCGTGCGGGTAATAGTGGAGAATGTCTTCATCAGAACTATTATCGAAAATGATCAACTTATGAAATGTATCTATGGTCCCTGAAAAAGCTTCGTGAATGCATTATTTCTTTCATATATTTGAGAGTTGGTATTGATTTCACACAATATGTGCAACCAACTAGGTTTCGGGATCAAGACTTAAATTAGGATTTTGCCACTAGTACGTACAGGGATATCATGCACAGTTACCTAAGATGAGTTTAAGCTGAGTTCTTTTCAGTAACTCGAAATGACAACTTCCTATTTTTTTTTAGCACACTTCCTGAACCGCTAAATGATGTATTTTGTAAAAAAAAAAATCTATATAGAAGATTTCTAAAAAATAAATTAGATTCATTTTCCAACTTTTTAATATTTAATACTCCCTCCATCCTAAAATATAACAACTTTTAGCACTTAAAATTTTTCCCTAAATCCCACAATTTTTTCCCCAAAATATAACAACTT